TGATTTAAAAATTGTCAAAGTTGAAATTTATAATAAAAACATAGTAAGTGGACTCAAACTTTTGGAAGCAACCGTAAGTTAGTTAATAGATGAATTAATTTAATCTAAATTATTTATTATCTATAGTATATACAATATTCAAACATATTTTGTATTAAATAGTTAATAGATATAATAAATTTATATGACCTGGCTTATGGGGTATTACAAAAAAAAATTTAGTAACAATTATTTGATATTTTTTGAAGAGTTGAATTGGATTTTATCTTTCAAAGAGTTAATGGCTATTAATAAGTGATTTTTAATTAAAATTTTTTTCTTAAGTCATTTTACAATAGAAGGTTCGTTATTCGTTAAATTGGTTTTGCAATCCAGAAAAAGTTTTCATCTTTTTTCCTCCTTAAATAGCAAATTAAACAAAAAGCAAAACTCTTTTGTTAATATGCTGTAAAAAGTAGATACAGTTTTAAGTTAATTATAATTTATCGTAATCAACCTATTTTTGTATGACTTGTCTGTACTTTGCTCGCATGAATGAGTCAATAAAACACAATGCAACAAAAAACAGATATTTTTCATGGCATCATTTATATTTATAATAATATCAATGCGACTAGAGACGCTCTTACAAGATTATTATCAGTTACTTCGTCCACGACTTCATCACAAATATCTTTCAAGTTCTCTTGCTCCATAATATGTTCAAGCAACTCTATTTACGTGTCTTTTTTTTGTGTCTATCCTCATTATCTAACATTAATCTTTTAAGATCGCTTTTGTCCAGATGTTGTACCTACTTCTCCTCTTGTCATCTTGTTTCTGCAAGTGTAAATTTACTTTACCAACATGTAACCATAAACTTTTTGACTACGGCCAACATCAAGACATTCAATGCGTCGACTGTGTTTCCTATCAAAAATATCCTAGGAGAATGTCGTCTATTTTTATTAAATTAATACTTACTTATAAAAAGATGCTATCTTAATTTTCTATTAATTCTTTTTGTTTAATAATTTTAGAATATATATACAGTATATATTTTAAAAAGGATTATATTAACACTATTCCAAAAGATTTCATCTTCAGGAATATGAAGTAGTTAGCAAGTATCAAACAATAAGCTAGACGCATGATCTTTCTGGAGAAACGATATCCCATACTCAGAGAAGGACGATACCCTTTTTATGCCGTGCAGCAGCATAAAAGACCATGAAATACGGTGTTTCTCTCTCAGCATGTTGGGAAACTGCGCTCATCGATACCCATACTTTAAAAAGGACAATACCTAATAGATAAAGCTGAAATAAAAACCTGACAGGCCTGTTGAATCAGAAAAGCTGCCCGCTTTTCGTTGAGATTATCGTAATCTTCATGGATAAGAATGTTACTTAAAAAGGTGAGATATCGTTTCCTCCATATATATTTTTGATCGTCCACATCATTAAATATACTGCATCAGGAGTCTTATTCTCGTCACATTTATCACGAGTATTGCATAAAAAACATACACGAACTATGTAAAAATTCAGCTACAGAAGAATAAGGTTAGAAGAAGCTTCGGCTTTAAAGTATCGCATGAGCTTATTAATTAATCCTTACCTAGTTATCTGAAAAAGAAGAAAGTATAAGTGAGAAATATTTCTCAATTAATAAGTTAAGCCAATCGGGATGGTTGATTTCACTAACAAATTCTCCCTATAACCGTATTTTGACATTAGAACACCCCCAAATTCATCCCGGGCCTAAGGATAAATGACCCCTGATGATCTATAAGACAAAACACGATACGTAAGACGCAAACCCCTCCTTCCCGGGTATGAATGAAAAGAAAGAATTTTACTAGAAAAAATATGCTAAGAAACAAATCCAAATTCGGATGCTGCGGAGATCCAATACCTTATGACAACTTACGAAGATAAAGTAACGTGAGTTCCCAGCTACAAGCAGCGTCATAAAACCGAGGACATAACTCTAACTCATAAACGACACAGTATAATAATAAAAATTCCTTCGGTTTTGATAATCACTACAGACCCTACTAACCTTCTTATTTAAAAGTTCCCCGGCATGTTCACGAAACCTTTGCGAAGTAGTATCGATATTATAAATATCTTTGAAATTATATTCTTTATATTGTTAGAAATGAATATAAAGGTTCACAAGTACGAGTAGGATAGAGGAGAGAGTAGAAAGAAATAAAAAAAAAAAAAAACGTCATTACGCGTTATCAATTACGTAATTAGTTTTTACCTTAATTGTAAACAAAAGGTGAGATTTAGTAAATTTGATGGGAAAATCTATAATAATTTTTAGAATTCGAAATCCAACTCGGAAATCATACCGTATGGCAAATTAATCGACCGCGCCAAAAACCGCAGCAACTACTGCGCCGGTGATACGTAATAAATGATGTAATGATTTGCAATCACTATAAAAACTTGGGTTTCTCGAGCCGAGAATTTTTTAAATCAAACGCAGTTAAATATGCCTGAATTACAGAGAGTTCTGGTAATATATTGCTTTGCGTATCTACATTATTTTATAACATAGTTAATTTATCTCCTTTTTGAATTTAAAGCTAGTAGGTTTAGGTAACCATACACACTCGCAAACACGGCACAGCATTGGGATGTTGGTATTAGATTACCTAGCAACACAATTAGGTTTAGCATGGAATAAAAACAAAGATTGGCCTGCTTACGTTACTGGAACGACTATATATGCTGATCCTCCTAAAGTTAAGAACAAAAAGACAAATATACACAGTGATAATCTGGAGAAAGATAAGGTGAATCAGGAATTATTGAAAAATGATGATAGCGGAGTGGAGGATAGTAATAGTTTAATAACCACGTCTGCCTCAACACGTTTGCCCTTAACTCCTTCACTTTTATCAACCAATTCTCGAAGAATAAAGCCTGATCCTACCCCATTAGAGATAACGCTAATGAAACCTTTATTATTAATGAATATTAGCGGGAAATCTGTGTCTAAAGCAGGTGTGTGGGCATCCTAGTTATTGGGCATTGCACATTATTCTATAAATGGATTACATGATTATTATTTTAGTTAAAGAACTTGGGATATCCCCTTCAAATGTCATCATAATTCATGATGACATGCAGCGTGAAATTGGAAAGATAAGCATGAAGAGTGGTGGAAGCGCAAAGTAACGAATTACGTCTTTTACATTAATTCAATTGTTTTTAGCAAGTTAAATTCAATTTTATTTTATTTTTTCAGTGGGCACAACGGAATAAAATCTGTAATAGAATCACTGAAAACCAATGTGGGTTTCCTAGAGATTTTACTATAAATGCGTTAAAAGGAAAATCAATTTCTGACATATTGCTTATTCAATTCGCAGTCATTTCGACGGTTAAGAGTTGGTATTGGAAGACCACCTAAAGAAATTGATGATCGATCACATGAAATAATTTCGAAATGGGTGTTGGCTCGCGTACCTAGGAGTGAGATGGAACTATATAACAATGAAGTATTTCCACAATGTAAAATTAGACTATTGGAAGTTTTTTGAATGAAAATTTGAACGCGTGGAAAGCGGATGGTTGACCACCTATAATTTTCATTATTACCGATAACGACCTCTAATATAATCGACCTCATGACTAATAAATAGCAGAGATTTTTTTACCAAAAATAAAAGACATGGGATGTGTTCTCCGTGCATCACTTATTTGGCACCCTTACGGCACTCGAGTGAAATAATAATTCATATTAAAGTATGAGACAATTACTTTTGGGCAAAATTATGTTATTTCTATTTATTTATAATTAATTATTAATCAATTAATATAAAGAAAATGTTAAAATTTTAGGATCAGAACTATAGTGCCAAAAAAATCCTGTTCGCCTTCGAAAATAATTACACATATAGGATATGCCTTTAAGAATATAAATATTTTACTTATGATTTTTTTTGAATTCTATTATTATATTATAATCAAATTGTAATTTGTATTAATCCAATTTTTCTAAAAAAATTTTTAATTTGTAAAAATAAAATCCTTATGGCCTTTTTATTAGTAAAATATGGTTTTCTTAAATAAATAATTTCTATTACTATATATATCTTTATTGAAGCATTAAATAAATATTTACAATATTATATTAAAAAAAATTTTTTTTAAAATCCACAATCAGATCAATTTGACATATCTGTATTATTATTTTTTTAATTCACAATCATGTCGAAATGACTTGTCTTTATTAAGATACTTGAAAAAATACTAAAATAATTTGCAAACCTTCTTATATAATGACTAACTCATCTTTATACATTATTAGTTGAAGGATTACACTACTTAAAAAATATGAGGTGTCCACTAAGCTAGTTCGGACTAAACAAAACTAAGTCTCAATTAGGTACTCTAAGTCAAATTTAAGGGACAATATTACATTCTCCTAGTAGTTTGGCATAATGCCTCTAAGTCAACTAGAGTCATTGTTAACAGTTTGTCATTATTAATTATTCCAAAAAATGATGAATTGCTAAAGTTGAACTAGAAAAGAGGGAAAACAAAAAACAATACAAAAGTTTTTTGTTTCATTTCACAATCTCTTCTCAAAAAGGGTCTTGCCTAATTGGGATATTCTTTTTTGCTTCATTTGGACCTTAGAAGGAGTCTTCTTTATTATTACCTACAACATCAAATGAGTCTTCATTTAAGTATGCATCAGATTGGGATAGTCCAAGAGAAACTAAAAGATCCCAGCTTCTATCTTAAAGAGTCTTTTTATTACTTGAGAAATTTAGAGAAAGAAAAGAATTTCTTTGTGCAGATTTACTTTATCTTTTTGTGTCATAACTGTTTCCTGAGATCGAATATACATAGTTAAAGAAAAACTTCTTCTAAAACTTTTTTTTCTATATTACTCATGATATAATAGAAATACAAAAGTGTAATCAATAATAACTTGTTTACTTTTTCTAAAACCAATGTATTTCATATTAGACAATTACTTTTGATAAGGATTTGTGCTATCTAAAATTCAGAATCAAACTGAGATAAGCAAAATTCTCTAAAAAAAACCATAAAACAATAGTTTTAAGATATTTACAAATGATCGGAATGGGAAAAAATAAGCCCTTCTATTATCAAAAACCTCTATATACCTCTCGTTTCAAAGGTGGAGAAGATCTTCATATACTTCACTATTGGTTCTTTTTCCTTTGAGAACTTTCTTGTTATTGATATCAAAGATGTTACTTAATTTGTTCTTGGTTATCAGAAGTCAAGTTTTTGATCAAAAAGAATTATAAACAAGTAAATTATATGTGGTCAGAGAATTAGTGAAAAGAGTTTTAATATGACATGTCTTTATTGTATATTTGCTAGATATTTATAAAATATTATGACTTTTACATATTAACTCATTTATTATCAAAAAGTTATTTCTTTAGATATAATATTTTGATTCTTTATATATTTAAATGAATCCTTAATCAATAAAATTATTATCTATAAGTCATTACTATAGATTATTTTAAATTCTGCTTACAATTAAAAATCAAATCATTTAATTTATAATAAATTCATTTCCTAATAATTTTTATACAATTCTTTTTATCTTCTTTTTCTATATCTTCTTAATCTAATTTTTTTATTGAAAATAATATTGGTTTTTCATAATCTTGTATAATTTAAATATTTGATCTATGTTTAAGTTTTTTAATTCTTTATTTTTTTGCTACAATATTCAATTTTTTTTTTATTTTATTACTTTGATACAATAACTGTTTTAGATCTTTTTTTAAAAATTTTTTTATATCTTTTAATAAAACTTGTTAATTGAATTTTGTGTAAATATTGAAGTAATATTAAGTTATTCTTTGAGATAACTTTTTTAAAAAAAGATCTTGTTCTTTTTCACATATCTATAAATAATATTAAAAAGACTTCTTTTGAATTTTTAAATCTTATTTAATTGGTTTTTTATCTAGTTATCAATAGAAAATAGAATTTTCTTCTTGTCTTTTATTTTTTTGTCAATATAATACTTAATTTTTTCTTTTATTTTCTTCTATATCTCTTTTCTAGCTTTTCTAATAACTAAACATTTAAAAAATATTTTAATGATTCCTTCTAAAGTTTACATATTGAACAAATAATTGGTTATTATATAGATACAGTATATAATTTTTTTTTCTTGAATATTTGTAGAACCAAAAGTTTTTCCACTGATCCTCCTTTTTCTTAAAAATTTCCTTTTTGAAGATTTTGGACTTTTAGTATTTTTAATGAATCCAAGATTTAAATCTATTACCTTTATTTCCCCTTTATTAAATGAAACCATATCTCCTATGTTTTAATTTTTCAAAAATTCTAATCACGAAACCTATACAATAGAAGAATCAGGGTTAAACATTTATTTGAATATTTCAACTCTTCCTTCCTTCAACCCTATTTTATGATGGAAAAATAATTATAATACTTTTTCTCAATTATCGAAAATCACATGTACTTACTGAAAAAACGAAATCTCAAATCCTAAATAAAAAAAAATTTTTTATGTACAAGTATATGAAATCTATTTCTAAATAGAGATAGTTAACTATAATTAATATAATTAATTGACTAACCGGTTAGAATCACTAAGCATATGACATCAAATTTGAGTTCCAAATTAGATAGGATCAGCCATTTATAATAATCACAAAAGCAAACATAAAAATAAACCTTAAACAAGAACAAGAGATGGGTGATTCTCCTCATTCAATTCCGACCTTCAATTCATTGAGCACTTCCTCTACTTCTTCAACTTCGTCACTTTTAAATCAAACACCTATAAGTACAAGCCTACCATCTTTTTCCTCCTCAGTCTCTACTTATGTAGGGCCAGTCGCTCAATCGAGTGGAACAACAAATGTTCAGATAGCAACGGAGAACAATGGAGCTTTGCCTTCCACTTCAGTGCACCAGCAGCGTCAGATAACTCAAGCTTCTCAATCTTTCTCTTCATATCGCGCTCCTCCTCCGCTTTCAGGTCGAAATGGGCCAGTCTCTATAAACTCGTCGACTGCTTCTGCGTTGAATATAGCTTCACCGACATCCTTGGTGCCACCGACTCCACGGATGGAACGGTCGAATTCTACATCTACCATGTATTCTGCTTCTGGATCTATCCATGAGAAATCTATGTCTGCTAGTTCCATTACAGTAAATTCTCCCAGTGCAATTTCTAGCGTGCCCTCACATAAAGAATCTGAAAGATATGAACATGATAAGTGGAGTTCTTTGGTCGCAAAAGTTTTACCCTTGTTCAATGGTGAGGGATTAAAAGCATGCATTGAAGATTTGAACGAATTGGTAAGGTAAAAAAAATTTTCTTCGATACGACTAGTATATTTTTTTTTAAAAATCAATTCATCTTACAAATTTGTTATGGCATTGAAAGGAGCTGTATAAAGGATCGTTCACAGAAATCATTATATGATGATATAAATTCCCTTTTATTAATTGGGATGGCCACGTTAAATGGGAAACTACGAGGGGTTCCTGATGAGAAACTTGTTTCACGCTTGGTTGAATTGTGGTCCTTTTATCTTGGAACAGTGATACCTTATTTTGAAGGTGTTTTCCTTCCGTTGCAAGTACAGGCATCAGCACAACACCGCGATCAGATGAGTGTTAGACGTTTAGTATTGATGAGCTTTAGAGATCATGTGATACTACCAATGGGAGACCGAGTAGAAGGTATTGAAGGGGTAATTTTAATTATTTAACGGTATGCTTTATTACTAACGAATAATATGAATTATTATAACACAGATGCATTTAACAAGTTGTTCCACGACTTTGACTCGGGAATTCCTGTTACAGATACAGCAGCTCGCATGTTGCAAATGTCATATATATTATCTTCAATTCTTTCAGATGATGATAAGCAAAAAGATATGGATAGAATTTTAGGAAAATTAAAAAATAACTGGAAGTTGTTTATGAGACGCAGGGATCGAAGGGGGTTTGTTGGTATGTCCCCTTCAAATTTGAATTCATCAACTGTTCAACAGACAACGGAGGGATCTGCTTCTCCGGTAGGTTGCAATGCTACGAGTAGCACGGCCGCCACACCGGCTACAACTTCAAATTCTATGACGAACGGAATTTCGGCAGCTACAAGTCCTGTATTGTAATTTGTGTTTGAATATGATAATAAACCAAAAATATGTTGCCTACTTATTGCTAATCCTCTAGTTTACATTCTTGAATCAAAATGACCAGAGGCGATCTTTATATTTTTAATAATATTGAGAAACTTAAAAGTTGAGAGTTTACTCCTCAAATGAATTCTTATTCAAAAAGATTTTGAATCTGAAGTCAAAAATGCCCAGCAAATTATTTTTTAAGAAACGGATAATATGTTAATATAAATTGTTTTTTTAAAAAATTTTTTTTCTGAATTAATATTTACAGTTTACGCTTGACGTTATTATTAAGAATCATAATATAATTTGTTAATAGAAAAAAAATATTCATAAGATATATTTAAGTATATAAAAAAATTCTTTAAAATATGTAGTTTTTTGTTTTTATGCTGGCGAAGCCATTACTTTATTGAAATTCTTGAGATGACGGAAAAGGGAAATTCCTAAGAAAATTCTTGAAACTGTAAGAACCTATGTTTTAATTTTTCAAAAATTCTAATCACGAAACCTATACAATAGAAGAATCAGGGTTAAACATTTATTTGAA